TGACTCCCACCTCGATTCATTCCTCCTCACCTTCTAAGCCCTGCTTCCACCAACCACTTCTGGGCACCTCCTAACATGAGGTTCTCTGCTGGGCATGGGGGAGATAAGGACAAGCCGGGAACTGCCCCTGCCTGCTGGGCACTTTCATCCTTTTCCCTCCCAGACCCATCGACTACACCCTGAGCCCTCTGCCAGATCCAAGGGATGTGCAGAAAGAACGTGGTAGCCCCCCGACCTGTCCCTGGGGTTGTCTCCGCCTCCCCCTCTCAAGACCTCACCCCCGCCTTCTCAGATTCCCAAACAACCTTCATGTGCCCTAGAAATGAAGCCTCCACCTCTGCCCCTCCCGAGGCCTCAGCTTCCTTGGGTATAAAATGAAAGAACAGCATTGAATGACCTCTAAGGGTCATCCAGCATCAAAGAAGGTCTTCCAGGATGGAGAGCCCGACCTATCTCCAACCCTTACATATAGATGGATCCCACCAGGGCGGTCCCTGCTCAGAGAGGGGCCCCCACGCCTCAGAAGGAAAGACCAGTGGGCCAGACACAGGCCTGGGGAGAGTGCACGGTTCATTCATCCATCCACCCATCCACCTAGGATCCATGCGCTCAGCCGGTCAGCCTTCAGCCAGTGTCTGGAGTCCAGACCTCACACTGAGGTCAAATCTAACAGCGACGGGAGAGCCAGGAGACAGAAGAGAGCGAGCCCCTCTCCTACGAGAGCGTATAAGTTCACTGAGAAATCACGTCCACCCACGGTCCACAGCAGGATGGAGCCTGATGGAAGTGGTGGGAGATGCCTTCAGCCCGCTAGAGCAGAGAGGGGCCTGAGAACTCTTCAGATCCAACAAAGGGAGAAAACAAGGCCCGGAGGGGGTAACCAGGCAGTGAAAACTGAGCTAGGATTTGAACCCTGGCCTCAGCCTTCTACTCTGAGGCTTTTGCCTCACAGTATGGTGGGAGGGGGGATGAAGGCGTCCCCCAAAGCCCCTTCCTGTTGCGTCTGGGACCTTGGCAGAGGACTGGGCAGGGAGTTTTCCTGGAGAGGTCAGAAGGAGCAGGTGCAGTGGGCAGACCGGGAAGACACTGTTGTTTAGCCCCGGGAGGAAGGGCCTCGGTGGCGCGATAACCCTGCGGCTCACCAGCCCTCCTGCTGCTGGACCAACAGAGCAGGGCCTCAGCTGGGCCTAACCACAGGCCAGGCCTCTCACCAGCGATCCCAGGGCCAGCGGGACTCAGCCTCAGCCCTCACCACTTGAAAGCAAAAGACAAAAAAGCAATATTTTCTCAGGCTTCACAAGGGTGTTGGGAAATAAAAGGGCGAGATTAAAAAAGGGAATCATCTTTCCAAAACAGTATGAATGACTCTTGGGCCATGGCGAGGAGGCCCCGGGAAATCGGCAGGGGTCCGAGGGCTGAGCTCAGGAAATGGGCACGGCTGCCTCATGGCCAGAGCCCCGCTAGCCCTCCACTGTAGAGCAGGCTGGGGCTGCATCCTCCGCTGCGGGCACGCTACCCCTGGCCAGACCTCTCCTCTGCCATGCCACTGATGCCCGCAGAGGGAGGGAGGACAAGGCCTCCACTCACACGGGGAGACTCAGGTCCCCCTCAGCACCCAGCCTCAAGTAGCCTGCCCAGATCCCCCCGGTTCCCAGCCTGTCTCCCAGTCCAGCCGTGGGGGTGCAGAGGAGGGGAAGCTCCCCGAGGGCAGGCTCTGCTCAGTTCTGCGTGCCGGGGTACCCGGCCATCCCTGAATGCAGGCTGGTGGGCGGGGGGCCAGGGCCAGGCTGGCCAGCCAGCTGCCACCTGCGCACACTCTAGATTTTTCCAAACACCTTGTGAAAGGGCATTTGTGTGCCCCGGCTCAGATTTCCCCAAGAAACATTTTCCATGGATGAAAATCTCCCCACATCACGTCCCAAGAAAGCCCAAGTGTCCTTTGGCTCCTGCTGGTGGCTCCGCGGGTTATGAAAGCCAGACTGTGAGGCTGGTCCCATATAATATCTGCCTTCACTGGTTATGTGGAGAGTCAACATTGGGATGGAAAGAAGCGGGGGCCAGCGGTCTTGGTCAGAGGCTAGAAACCCAAGCGGGAAAGGCTGCCAGACAAGGATTTTCCAGCTCTGGTCCCTCGAAAGGTCTCCGAGAAGTCACCGGCTTCTGCAGACCCTGCACCCCTCTCAGGGCTTTGACGGCGATGGGGGGCCAGAATCACTCCCATTTTGCACAGGAGGAGACTAAACCAGAGAGCTGGAGGGGGGACGTTTCTTCCCTAGTGGAAGAGGCCACCCTTCTCCCTTTCAGCGTCTGCCCCTCGGGCCCAAAGGGTAGAAGGGAAGACAGCCCTGGGTGGGGATCTCGGGGAACCCAGACACTTCCCCGCTCTTCCACTAGGGGGCAGGGCGGGGCTGTTCCTGGCGGACATTGCCTCCACAGTCATGGGGATGGAAGGCAAACCTTCGCCCCTCTCCCGGCCTCAGTTTCCCTATCTCTAGCACAATGGGGGTGGGCTCCTCCTAGCTCTAGGATAGAGTCCATGAGCAGTAGGCCCCTCGGGCCCATGATTTTATCAACAGGAAGAACCCCAAGACCCCAGACCCACAGACGAGTCCAAGGTGGACACATCGTGGCGATATGGATGCTGCGTCCCCTTCGGCAATGGGAAGCCTGTCTCTCTGGGTTTGCCGGGGACCCAACCTCCAGCCTCCATCTTTCCCCAGGCCAAGGTGGTTCCCCCGCACTCACGTGGACAATCAGGCCAGTTCAGTTCAACACACCAGTGCCCTCCTCTCTGGCTATCTCCTCCACAGCCCCATTAAACACCTTGCTCCCCACACTGGAGACCATGCCCCAGGGCAGCTTCCACTGTAGGGCCCTCACCACCCTTTCAGGCAGGCCCCGGCCGGCCTTCACTTCTCTCCCACCATCTTTGCACCCTGAAGCTCTATTCTCTCTTATAAAACTGGGAACCCACACCCTCCCCCAGATAAGGCTGGCCTTGGGGGAAAGACCCCCCTCCACACATTTAACAGAGGAGAAAACTGAGGCCCACAGAGGGCTTGCCTCAAGGCCGCACCAGTAAGATGTAGCCAAGGTGGGATTTGGATTCAGGCTCTGACTCAGCCCCACTCACGGTTCCTTCTCTTCCCACTTTAAGTGAATTTCAGCCATTAAACTATGGGCCACCAAGTCCCAACAGAAGGAATTCCAAGCCCAGAAAAAGCCCCAAGAAATCTCAGGGTTTCTTTGGTTTTTAACCAGTGCCCTCAGCTTTTACATCTCCTCCTTTTCTGGCCATCTCTTTGCCCTACACAGAGAACTTTCTCTTGTAATAAATATTTAAAAAAAGAAAAAGCAACCTACATGTGTATGTGACTGTGCATGCAATGCTCCGCACCCACAGTCCCCAGCCTCTGCCATGGTGGGAGGGAAGAACATTTTTCTCAACTCTCATCTGCAAACGTCAATTTTGCTTAGTCAAGGCAAGCCCAGGGAGTCTGGGGATGGTCTTGAGCCCTTAGAACTGAGTGGGAAGCACACAGGGCCTGGGCCCTGGAGCGGTGTGGCTCTGGGCTGTTAGGTTTGGGCCAAATATTGATTAGTAGGAATGCCCATCCAGAGATTTAGGAGACCACAGCTGGGGCTGCCATCCCGGGCCTGGGACTAGATCTTCTCTGTTCATTGATGGCACTGGGCAGGGGCCAGGCTTTCTTGGTGGGGGCTCCAGTCAGGCCTGGGGAGTGGTAAGGAAGAGTGGGGGGATGGGGGGATTGTGCGAAGGGAACTATCGAACCAGCAGAAACTGCCCCCTGCCAGCCCCCCCACCGCCATCCTGGCCCCCAGCTCCGTGCCGGGAGGGAAATCGAAAACTGGCACACCCAGAATGCTGTCCCAGGATGTCACCAAGGGATCCTGCCTCCGGGGCCTCCCCATCACACCATGCCGCGCACCCAGGGCTGATCTTACTGTGGAACAGTCAAGGCCAGGGGCCCTACTCCCCGTGGCTGCCCTCTCACACCCTCACTCTGGGGGCACTCCCTGTCCTTCAGCTTCATGAGCACCGGTTTGTTGGCGGGCTGTCTCTAGGATGGTGATTTGGGAGGGGGCGTGAGGCACTGACCACCACTCAGTGCCTGGGCCTGCTTCACTTCCTGGAGGACGGGTCCTGGCAGCTGCAGGGCCTCAGCACCCAAGCTGAGGACGCAGAGGACGCTGGGTCCTCGAGCTAAGTAAGCATCCTTTGAGACCTGAGCAGGCCCTGTCCATGGGCCCAGGAGCCCTGGGCAGACTCCTCAGTCAGGCTCCTGTCCCCTGAGGCCTGCTCACCAACTCCAGAGGCTGGCTGACCATGTGTGCAGCTACCGCCCCCTCCTTCCCCGTCAAGCTAACGCTGCTTCCAGGGGGGACCAGCCCCAAGAACCGCCTCTGCTCTCCCTGCTGGGCCGAAGCTGGCCCACGCCCAGCATGACACAGACTGGGTAACCCAGGCATCAGTCACAGGCCCCCAGAGGGGACCAGCAAAAATCTGGCCCCTCAACTTGGGGGCTTTCCCGCCAGCACCTGCTAAACGGGAGTAAAACCAGGACAGAAACCAGGGAAGCCAAGGGGCAGCAGGAAGGGTGGCGTGAGGAGGGGGTGTCAGGAGCCAGCCTCCACCAAGGGGCCTCCAAGGGCTCAGCCTCCCACCCCCACAGAGCTGAGGGGGGCCAGGAGGGAGCCCTCACCTTTCCCCCAGGGCTTGGGAGGACCTTCGTCATCCTGACAGAAGGAGCCAGCGACCCTTCGAGTGGTCTGGGAGAAACCAGCTCTTGCCGACATTTAGACCAAGGCCAGGCCTACCCACGACCCGCCCTTTAATCTGTGTCCAGGCAACCCAGTGCCCTCAGGCCAGACAAAGGGCCCCTCCTCCTCTGTCCCAGCCCCTGAGCCGCGGGCCCCCCAGCCGCGGGCCCCCCAGCCATGAGTCCCCGAGCCGCGCGATGCTGGAGCTGGGCACTCACTGGGAGATGTGTGTGATCGGCGCCAGCAGGGTCTCCCCTTCCAGGTCCAGATCCTCGGCAAAGCTGTTGGTCCTCAAGAAGCGGCCGGGGTTCACCTCCAGGGACGACGGGCTTTTCTTCACTGGGCACAGAGAGATGGAGGAGGGGAGACCCATTAGGACCCTGCACACACCTGTGAGATGGGCACACACCTCCCCAGATGCCACACTCACACACGCTCACATACAGACACGCACACACACTACTACACATACACACACACAACACTCACACACACACACATCCATACCCAACGACCCACCCACATACACAGATACCACACTCACACCCACAAGCTCACATATAGACACACATACACATTCACTCACACACCCACTCACACACACATAGAGACTCATACACTCATACACTCACACATCCTCATACACATACACACATACAACACTCACACACACACTCACACACACACTCACATAGACACACACTCACACACACACATCCATACCCAACAACCCACCCACATACACAGATACCACACTCACACCCACAAGCTCACAGATAGACACACATACACATTCACTCACACACCCACTCACACACACACTCACATAGAGACTCATACACTCATACACTCACACATCCTCATACACATACACACATACAACACTCACACACTCACATAGACACACACTCACACACACACATCCATACCCAACTACCCACCCACATACACAGATACCACACTCACACCCACAAGCTCACAGATAGACACACATACACATTCACTCACACACCCACTCACACACACTCACATAGCGACTCATACACTCATACACTCACACATCCTCATACACATACACACACACAACACTCATACCCAACTACTCACCCACATACAGATACCGCACTCACACCCACATACTCACACACACATATACTCACACACCTCATACACATACATATACACAACACTCACACACACAGACACACTCACACCCACACACTCACATACAGATACACACACACACACACACACACACACACACACTGTTATCCCACTGTAGTCAACATATAAAACAATTGTGAAGTTCAGTACTATGTACCAGCCCCTGCCCCCAAGAAGCTTACTTTCTAACAGGGCAGACAATACTGACTTGCTCCATATGAAAAGGGCCTAAAGTAAACAGTAGCTCCATCTCAAGGGCCACCCCAAGAGGTCCATGTCACAAGGGAACCATAGTGCGGAGCAAGCAGTTGGGGGCGGGGGGAGTGGGGCAAAAAAGGCTGAAAAAAGGAGAGAGTGTCCTTGGGGCTGAGTTTTGCTAGGGCATCAAAGGGGTGTCCGAGAGGAGGAAAAGGAGTCCAGACAAAGGCTCAGAGGTGGGAGATGAGGCGTCTTGGTTGAAGGAGGGTGTGGAGGGGGCTGTGTGGGTAGAAGCACAGAGTGCGCACATGGAGGTGAGTGGTGTCCAAGAAGATAGAAATAGCTGGGCTCCTCCAGCCATGGGGACTTGTCACCGGCCCCAGGGACAGGAATCACTTGGGTGATACCATGAGGTGACAAAGACGGTCTGGCAGGTGCTGGGCTGCATGGGGCATGGGGAGGGAGAGGTCAAGGACTCCAAGGCCTGAGGATTGGGGTGCAGGGGTGTCCTCCGAGGAAGTGAGGGCATTCAATAGAGAAGCATATGTGTGTCTGTGTACATGTGAGTGTGTCTGTCTGCATTTGTGTAACTGTGCTGTGGATTTGTGTGTGAGTTTGTATGTGTCTCCATGTGTGCAAGGGTGTGCGTGTGTGCGCATGCGCACATTTAGGGCAGAAGTCTCTTTCTGTCCTGGGATAGCAGGTCCCCACTTGGCTCATCTGCTGCCTCTTTAAAATGCACACATGGGGGACCCCACAATTTCAAGCAGCTCATGATGTGAATGGAAGGAGGAGATGTGTCCATCACAGATGGGGGCCATGCCCAGGGTGGCCCTACGACTCTCTCACGGGTCTCTGCCCTGCCGGCCTGTCGCTGGGCAGTCACACAACTCCAAAGCTTTACCAACTAGAAACCAAAAGGCTGTTAATTAGGGGGGGCCCAGATCGCTTCCCAGCACATGGACACAAGACCTCACAAGCCCGGCCACTTGGTGGTGGTCCCACCGTAAGGAGACCCCTGGCCCTTGATGGGACCCCAGTGGGACGAGAATCCCAGACGATCGGGGCTGTCTTCAGGCCCCAGCACTGGGGAGCGGCCTTCCTCAGCTGCCCTGGAAGAACAGGGTTTCTGCAAGGAAGGAGACAGGATTCCAGAGGGGAATGTGGGAGATTCTTGGAGGAAAGATAGGGGGGCTTCGAGGATGGAAGCAGAGCTGGCAGGCTTCCAAAGCCGTGGAGAGGCTTGATTCACAAAACAGCCAGGAGATTAAGAGCAGAGCTGCGGCTGGCGTGAAGCAGCCCCCTCCAAACCGGAGTGAAGGGCAGCTAGCTATCCCCGCACCTAAGACATAGAACAGCCCGCCTCAGGACGAAAGGCAGGACTCCTGAGCTCCTGACAATCTGCAGGGCCCGGATCGAGGCCTGACAGAAGAGCCCAGGCCCTCATGTGAACGCCGTCACTCGCAGGGTCGGCCCGAGGTTCTGGATTCCATCCACCCCCTCCTCAGGAAACCAGAGACCTCATCTGGCGGGGCAGCTTTCCAGGCTGAGCTCATCCTCTCCCCCGCCCTCCTGCCCTCACTCTGTCCTCTGTCCCAGGCTCTGGGCCCCTTCCTTCTCCTGACTGCCCCCCCCAGTCGATGGGCCCACCGTCCTGGACCACCGGTCCCCCCATTCTCTCTGGCTTCCTCTTCACTCCCGCCATGTCTCGGCTCTCAGACCCCTCAGAGCTCCTAAACCACGGCTCCTCCCAAACAACCTCCATCAGAAAATGACCTGGGGTTTGGGGGAACGGGGCTGCGATTCCCTTGCTGAAGAGAAGATTCACGTGGTTCTGCGTGGCCCCAGAAGTGCCACATCTTGCACATGACAGATTTTCATGCACTCGGGGCTCCTCCGCACCAGGCCAACCATGCCCAGGGCCTCGGACCGATTCTGAAAAGTCCTAGTCTTCAATCACCCTGGCTTTCCTTTCCTGGACGCTCCCCAGCTCCCCATGCCCTTTCTCCAATGCTAATGCCCACGTTTTGGACTTCACCGACAGCGCCTGACCCAGCCAAAGCCTGCTGGTCACTCATTCGTGGCTCCATCAGACAGACCACTGATTACATTTCCATTCTTTGTGGAGCACCATGCTAGGTCCTGGGTGGGAGAGAAGATGAATTCCCTGCCCTAAGCACCTAAGGACCAAGGTGGGAGAGAGGAAGGCAGATGGGACTATGCATACCTCACAAAAACTGGGGAAAGGGGGGGAATCAAAGAAGGGTGGGTGGGAAGGTGATCACGGACAAGAGAGAGAAGGCACGTCCTCTCATCCTCACGGTTGAGATTGTGTCCATTTTCTCTAACAAAGAGAACGACCTTTGTATCAGAAAGGGCAGAACAAAGAAGGATAGCAGGGAATGACCCCCAAGATCAGTCAGGGGAGAGACAGAGGCCCCCTCCCTGCTCTGCATGAAGTTGTATCCACTGACCCAGATGAACCACAACCTGGGGTCCTGAATGACCTGGACCATGGGATGACCGCGTCACTCACCGGCGGCGACTTCTGAAAGCGCATGGACAAGACAGAGGAGGGACAGGGCTGGGACAAAAGGGAATGGAGTCTGTGAATGGCAGGCCAGTGAACCTGACTTTGTTTCTAAAGGGTTCCAAGGAAAGTTCTAGAATGGGTGACTCCAGCGCTGGCTGGGTACGGCGGCGGTCCCAGAATCAGTGCAGCTTAGAGGGAGCGTCACCTCTCTTTTTGACAGGGTTGTTGACTGGAAGAGACGGGATCTTCGGCAGACCTCGTTCCCCTTGATTTTAGCAAAGCCTCTGATAAAGTAGCTCATACTCCTCTTATGGAGAAGATAGAGAGATGAGGAGCCGGGTAATAACACAATTAGACAAATTGGGAACGGGTGGGATGGCCAGGGCATTCCAACCATTAGGCATACAGCATGAGCAAAGGTGCGGAGGTGGGAAAATACTGGTCACGTACCAGGGGTAGTGAATGAGCTGTCGCTCCTATCTAGTGCGCTGTTCATTAGGAGGGAAAAAGGGAGAGAAAATCACAGGCAGGAGGGAAGCTTTGAATGTCAAACCAAGTAGGCCAGACTGTATTTAGGAGTCAACAGCAAGCCTTTGAAGGGCTTACACTAGAGGTATGGCATGGATGTATGGAGAGGGTCATTCCAGCTGCTGTATTTAGGACAGATTGGAGGGGGCGGGGGTGGATACAGGGAGACCAGGGAGCCACAGTGGCTGACGTCGAGGGACTGTGCCCTGGGGTGGGTGAACGTGGGACATCGGGAGCAAGGTCAGAGTGGAGAGGGAAGCTAGTAACTAAGGGAGGGGCTGGAAGAGGTGTGAGGTGTCTTTGCGGCCTTGCCTAAACACCCACGGAGGTGCACATTTGCCCATTCACACATAGGCATGCACAGATGAGTGCACATGTGCCCTCACGTGCGTGGGGACACACACAGGCAAAACTCTTCATGGGCGTATGACAAGGGCTGCCGGCTCTTCTGACCCCGAGGGAGCCGGGTACTAGAGGAGAAAGGGCAGATCTGAGGGTAAGCAGACCGACTTGGCCGGAGGGCAGAGGGTCCAGGGAACAGTCAGCGGGGAAGGCAGAGCTTCACCTACTGAGACACCCCAAAAAGTACAGAAAGGCCCCGGCCCCCACCCTGCACCCCATGTTCTCCAGAGCTACCCTCCCTCCCTCCCTCCGGAGAGGCCCGGTGCCTGAGACCACCAGGCTGCTCCCTGCCAGCCCCCAGAGGCAGCCCCCGGATGGGGGCCCCTGGATCCCAGGACGAACAAACAAAGGGCCCGCCCTCATTTGAGTCCCTGCCTCCTCTGCTGTCTTCTCACCAAGGAGACCACGGTCCAGTCTCCCACCTCACACAAGCATCAAAGCGATTAGTGAGGGAGGAGGTTGCCAAATGTCTCCAGATGTTCTCAGAACTCTTAATGGGGAAATGAGTTACATGCGTCAGCCTCGAGATGCTGGCCCCGGGGGCCCCTCTCCCTAAGCCCCACATCTGCCTCGGGCCCCACTCCCACGCACACAGCCTTGCTCTCCCTCCCCAAGGAAGGCCCTCTCAGAATCCGGGCAATGGACTTAGGCATGGAAGCACGCTGTGGGCTGCAGCCGAGACCCTGGGACTGTGGGAAACGGAACGCCGGGGGGTGGGGTGGGAAAGGGCTGAACACCGGCCCGGGGGCCAGTGCCGAGCCATGCAGTTGGGACCAGCCTCAGTTTCTGTTTCTGTCAAATGAGGGGGCCGGGATGGAGGCCTGTAAGGAGTCTCTGACTTGGTGACCCCTGCCCAAGGGTCTTTAAGTCAAGAGTGGAAGCTGAGCAGAGCCAAGGAAAGGTTTGATGTCAAAATGACTAATTGTCGATGTCACAAGGAATGAAGACAGGCCTGGGCTCAGTCTGGGAGCCGGCGAGTGGGGCAGCTCTGCGGCCGGTGCGTCCACGAGGCTGGCCTTCATCCTCCGCTCAGACGTAATGAGGGAGAAAGCCGGCCTGGAAAAAAGTCCCCTGGCACTCCTTCTGGCCCAGGGCCCAGCCGAGGTATGGTCTCCATTTGGGCTCTGGCCTCACGGTCAGGCTCATCCTGACAGGCTTTACTTGAGAATGACAGTCAAAGCCAGGTTGTCACCGGAGAGATTTACCAATCATTGAGGGAAAATGTCTAAACAACAAGCCCGGCTCCCACGGAAAACAAGCCCCCCTTCCCGGAGTGAGGGGCATGTGGTCTGTGTTAAGAGCACTTCTGAGCGAGCTGGACAGCTTCCCAAGGACGATGGGGGCCGGCACCAGCACAGCCATCCCCCTGCTCCCTATCGGGCTCGATGTGGACCACAAGGGCTGGTGGGATGGGTCCCTCTGTCCCCCCGGGAACACCGGAGGGAGCCCTGCTCTCTGCTCAGGGGCCTGGACCCAAGGAAGGGCAGCTTCACCACCTGGGTCCTCCAGAGCCTTATCAGGAAGGAGCGGGGCTCCTTGGCTCAATCCTATGCCTACACAGGCCGGGGTAGTGCAGGCCCAGAGAGGAGCAAGGATGGGCCCAGTGCTCCACAAATGGGGCCGGGCCAGAGCTTTGGTGAGCCTAATTCAGGCTTCCTCCCTGGGGCCATGGTGCCCAAACACCCAGACCTAGAAGGCCTGGGAGCGTGTGGGGAAAGGAAGCTTTCCCCTTCTGAACAGCCACACTGGCCTGGGATTCCAAAGTCATAGTTCCTTCCCACCCCACATTTGACCATCCCTACGGGCCATGAAGTCAACGTGACAGGGCAGAGACCTCTGACCCCACGTGATGGATGAGGAAACTGAGGCACTGTGGGGTGAAGCCCGTCAAGTGTCTTAGTGGTTGCACAGGGGACTAGAGTCTTGAGATCTCGGCTTCAAGGTCATAGAATCAGAGACTTTCTGAAGGTTAGAGCAAGTTCAGGCCCTTTCAGAAGATAGAAAAGCACTTAGCACAGTGCCTGGCCCATATAGGAGCTTCACGAATGTTTCTGATTGACTGCCTGAGAAGATGTGCTATTTTAAGTGCCCCTGAGCCTCATGGGAGGACCCTGACCAGCTGGCTCCCAGGAGTCCTCTCAGTTGGGAGCTGGCACTCCACCGGCTGGTCGCCCCAGGTGCTCCCCCGAGGTCCCATCTCCTCCTGCCTACGGCTCTGTCAGGAGCAGCTGTAGAAGACCATGAGCTAAGAAGTCCAAGCCAGCCGCCCCTCTCCAAAGGGGACCCGTATTTCCTGAGCCTAATATCATAACCTCAAATCAAGATGGCAGCCTCCCATGGCAAAGTCCATGAGTGCTATCAAGGGCTACAAAGATTAGAACAAGCCTTCTATTGTGCCCCAAGGGTGAGCTTGCCAGTCAATCAATCAGCCTTTATTAAACGCCATATACCAGGCCCTGTGCTCAGGCCCAGGATGCAAAGAAAGGCAAATATGCCGTGGGCATGAGCAGTGCACCCAGGCACAGGCCGTGGGCATGAAGGCTTCTCCTGTTCCCTGGGCCCCCACTCTGGCTAGAGAAACCCGATGGGGATGTGACAATTTGCCCAGTGTCACAAAGGCCGCCCAGCCTGGTCTGTATTTCTAGCATCATTAACATTCCATCAACATCACTAACGACTTAATAACTCCTAACGGTGTGAATGGACAGACGTCATTTCAGCCTGTTCCCCATTCAACAAGAGCTCTGGGGATTTTTCTCTCCCTGGGTAAACATGGAGAGCTGCCCTCCCAGAAGGCCTCTTCCATTGTGCCCACCCTCTACGAATTAGCATTTTCAAAACACTATCATTTGCATGGAGAGAATGGGGGAGTTGACGAATGCCAACAGGGGTGCTTGGGGCATTTGTCCAGACAATCGTCCTCTGTGTGTGAACCTGCAGGTCCTGGGGAGAGTGCGTTTGGGGAGCCCCCAAGGTCCGGCGGGGCTAGGAGCAGGCGGCAGGTATGGGTGGCGATGCCTGGAGGCCGTTAACAAGTGTTTTCTCCACGTTTTGGCTCTAAAATACAAATTGGATTTGTCTGGCCACGTAAGCTGCAGGAAAGGGGCAATGAAGCCCCGTGGGAGCCAGTCCTTTGTCCGAGGCCTTCCGGCCTCTCTGCCTTCAGCCTGAGAATGTAATTGGGAGCAGATGTGTGCGGATGGGTCCCCTGGGGTCCTAGGCTGCCGTGGGCTGCACGTGCACACAAAAGCGCCTGGTGCCCGCGACAAGATTCTCCCTTTTGTTCTGCGGTCCAAGCCCATTATCTGGCTCATTGGGCCAGGAAGAGTCTGGGGGGAGAGGAGATTCAAAAGCCCACATAAGGAGGAGGGAAAGAAGAAAAAGGAGAGGCCATGGGAAGGAGGTGGGGGGAGTGACGGCCCCTCAGGGCACTATCCCATCACCAACACTTCTGAAGTCAATCCCATGCGGGCCTCCAGTCCACCCTCAGACAAAGTTGATAAGGACGCGCTGTCCCCATCCACCCGGAGGCCCCATTCGAGACGGAGGAGGCGCTCAGTCTGAAGGCTGGGTGGGGGGAGGTGAGACACCCGGTCTAGCCCACACCGTTTAATCCCTCAGAGCTTCATTCTGCCAAGGGTGCTGTGCCCCTCCAAGGCTTTAAACATATCCAATCCAAAGGAATGATTGTCTCATTAGCAAAGATCTCCAGAAGGAAGCCAATGTTCAACGGTGGGGACTCACACAAAACGTTTAGGGCTTGGGCTGTTAAGACGGCCCAATGTTTTCAAAACATGTCGATCTGTGACTCTTGTGGGAAGGAGGCTGCCCTATGTGGAGGTTTTCACAAACATTTGCACAATGCTGCTCACCACCATACCAGGCTGTTGTAAATATTTTCCTCGTACCCAAACACAGGTTTTCACCGACGTTCATGCTTCCTTGAAGCAGGGTGAGTGTGACTGGCATTCTGAACTGTAGCCCAGAGCTCATATGACCAATGGTCCAAAGATAAAGCAAAATCAAATGGGATCTGACACTCCATCCCAACCACTTCTCAGCTCAAAGGAGGAATAGGAGGAAAGGGTGGGAAGAGGAGGGGAGGGGAGAGAGAGAAGAGCAGAGAAGGAGAAGGATGTGGAGGGAGAAACAGGGGCTCTGACTGATTTTCCAAAGAAAAGGGGAAAGTCTGCAGAGACTTGGGCTATGAGAGACCTAGATCCCTTCTCTCCTTGGTACCTGCTGACACGGCAGGGAAACTGGACACAAGTGCCCCCCTTTTTCACAGAGACAAACCTCTCCCCTTCTGTGCACCCCAGAGGCCTCTATCCAACCGGCCACTGAGCAAGACGCCCTTTGCCAGCATGTGGGACTGATGACCATCCAGTCTGTGCCTGAAGACCTTCAGCGACTGGGACGAGCCATGTCCAAAGGAAGCCCATTCTACAGATACTCAGCTGTCACATCTAGGAAGGATTTCCCTTTTTCAAGCTTCAATCTGCTTCTCCACGACCCCTCCATCCCCGCTGTGGCTCCTGGCTCTGATGGCCAAGGCCATCAATCCTACTGCCCCAGGGTAACCTTGCAAAGACTGGCATTCAGCCCTCCCAGCCTCTTAGTCTGGCTTCCCATCAATTTCTTACCAGAATTTTCATATCCATCGATGGAAAACTGCTCTGACTTTCTCTCCTCTGTTACGTGGTCATACGTGATATGTGGCACCGTCAACGTTTTGTCCCCAGTGCCAACCCCATTGTCCTTCTCCAGTTTGAATTTTTTCTTCTTTACCTGAAAAACAGGAGACCCGGATGACCAGATGGACTCAAGCCACCTTCCTCTCATGGCAATGGGCGCTCCCCAGGCTGACTCTCAGCCCTCTTCTCTTTGCCCTCCATGCTATCTCACTCTCTGTGATCTCATCAGCTCCCATGACTCACAGACTCTGGGATACTGAGCCTCGCTTTCTCTCTTGAGCTCTGGCATCACTTCACCAGCTGCCTCCTGGATATCTCAAACTGAAACGTCTTGGAGGCACCTCAAACTGATCATGCCCCAAACAGAATTCATTACCTTCCCCCTAAACCGTACTCTTTTCTGAATTTCCCTATCAAGGTGGAGAGCACTGCCATCCTTCCAGCCTCCCAGCATGGCAACCTCGGCATCATCCCTGACTTCCTACTCTTCCTGACTCAGTGGTCAGATTTGGATGGTTCACTCCCCACACCATTTCTTCCATCCATCCCCTTCTCTCCACATCCATGGCCACACCATTCTTGGCCAGGGCCTCTTCACCTTCCTTCTCAATTCCTCCAAGAGCCCCTTAAGTGGGCGCCCTGACCTGAACATCTTGCCCCCACTCAATCCACCTGCCACACAGCCTCGAGTGGGATTTCTCTAAAGCCCCTCATCTTGGCCACATCCCTCATCTACTCCATGAACTCCAGCAGCTCCCTAAGAACCCCAGGATCAACCAGAAAGTCTCTGGCATTAAAACCTCTTCCTAATGTGGCCCCTTCCTACCTTTCTTCTGACACTGTACTTTCCTCCACAAACTGTCACCCAGAAATGCCACTTCCTCACTGCTCCTCACACCCAACTCTCCATCTCCTTGGCACTGGCTGCCACTCATCATCTTGTTCAAGACTGAGATCCCACCTTCTGCAAGAAGCCTTTCTGTTCTCTCTGGAGGGCACTTTGTATATGTTCTTTCTTTCTTTCTTTCTTTCTTTCTTTCTTTCTTTCTTTCTTTCTTTCTTTCTTTCTTTCTTTCTTTCTTTCTTTCTTTCTTTCTTTCTTTCTTTCTTTTTTTCTTTTTCTTTCTTTCTATCTCTCTCTATCTCTGTCTCTCTCTCTTCCTCTCCTCTCCTCTCTCTGTCTCCTTCCTTCTCTCCCCTCTCTCTCCCCCCCTTTTCCCTCCTCTCCCCTCTCTCTCCTCTCTCTCTCCTCTATTCATATGAATATATAAACGTGTGCCATCTTGACTTTTGTCCTGCCACTGGACTTCAGTGACTCAGGAAGATCAAGTGAGGCTGAGGACTTTGCGCAGCTCTGTCTCATTTAAATCCAATTCACACCAAATCAAGTTACTACCCTGTGACGTCATTGGTTCTCTTCAAAAATGAAAGATGACCAACACATACATGCATGTAACATATACATATAACACATGTGTTGTCTCCTCTGTTATAAGCTCCTGGGGGCAGGAATGCTTTGCTTTTGTCTTTATATCTCCTGTATCAAATATAGCAGCAGGCATACAGCAGTCACCCAACAAAGGCTTGCTGATTAGCTGCTGATTTCTGCATGAGTGGGCAAGGGGGAGGGGTAGGGCAAAAATTTCCAAGTTCCACATTGATGTTTCTAAAAGTGTTCAACAGGACTGAATACAGACACCCAGCTGTGCACATACATGCACATGCATATACATGCATTTAGGCACCCCCCCCACCCCAACAGAACCTATGTCCTAGAACAAAAACCAGAACTGACCCACTTTGGAAAAGAACACCAGCTAGGTAGCCCCCACCAGAATCAAAGGTGAACAGGGTCATTACCATGACAGATTTCTTGGGTTTGGGACTGGGTGACAACAGGTGATAATTTCGGGCAGGTTTTCGGATGTAAATTTTCCACGTTGAAGAATCAGGGTTCTCAGCTGCGTAGCATCTCCAAGCCGTCTGAAATCATTGACAAAGGAGAAGTATGTTCATCCTGAATCTTCAGAAATTCATTTTCAAGGCACATATATACAGATTCTCCTTTTTCTATATGGATCGATAGATGGTTGAAGGAAGTAAATAAGAATATATGGATGGATGGATGGATGGATGGATGGATAGAAGGATAGATGAAGAAAGGATAGATGAGTGAATGGATGGATAGAATGATAAAGGAAGAACAGATGGATGGATGGATGAATGGATGGAAGGGTAGACAGATGGATTGATGGAAGGATAGATGGGCAGATGGATGGTTGTAAAGGTGACAATTTGGGAGCAGCAGAGGATTTTTAATGACATTATAAACTTAATAATAAACAGCAAAGGAACTAATGAAACTTGCCTTGTAACTATTTACATTGAACTTAATTAAGTTCAACGCATAAACCACCCCAGCTTCTCAACCCCACCTCCGAGTCCATTCCCATCAGAGCTTTTTGTCTTTTCCCTCTGTCTCATTCACATTCCCTCTCATGTGGTCACAGGCGGGGCCGGGGGAAGAAACACGACCATGTCGCCCTCTGTCTGCTTTTGTTGTTGTTGTTGTTGTGATTTTGCTTTATTTCATAAAGGTCGGACCAGATTTCCTTATGTTTCTCACACTTAGTCTTAATTGCATTATAATATTCCATGACATTAATGCACCACAATTTATTTGACTATCCCTCCATTGTTAGATACTTGGGCTGCCTCCAGTTTTGTTTTTTGGGTTTGTTTTGGACTTTGGGGTTTTTTTCAGTTACAAACACACCATCCTGATGTTCTTGGAACAGAGAGCTCTTGGGGGAGATGCCCTATATGGCATCTGGGCATCATTTTGACCCATGTCTGTGCTGGAGAAGAGACCAAGGACATTGGTGGATGTTGTCTCGTGGTGCGGGAGCATCACTCTGACCCAGATTCCCCCTCAACCTGGGGAAGGGCTCTCTGAGGCCACTGAGTCTAAAGCCTAGCTGAGGAGAGCTGTCCCTGACGTCCCCAACACGCCCAACACACAGGATGCCCGCCATGTACGTTGGAGAGACTGGTCCATTGGCTGGGTCATTCACTTCTTCTGAATCTCCTTCTCTCACTGCAAGCTCTAGACACATCAGCCTCCAGCTCTTCCCTGAACCCTACCTCCAGTCTCGTATGTCCACCCTGGGAGAGCTTCTGCCTTTTAGAATGTATGGCTTTCTTCAAGGCTTGGTTCACGTGCCACCTTCTATGGAGAACCGTCCACGATCCCCTAGTCACCTCTTCAGACTGACACATCTTTCTGTGTGTTTGTCTGCTGCATCCTTGCCTGCCCTAGAGAATGCAAGTGCCCCAGAGGGCAGGAGATGTCCCTTTGGTCTCTGGATCCCCAGCACCTAGCCTGGGGCCTGGTAGAGAGCAGACATTTCATAAAATGGGGCTGGACCAGGAGAATACTGACACCCTCTACAGAAGGAGGAAGTTGGGAAGAGAGACAGGTTCAGGGGGCAAAGATGAGGAGACCTAGCTGAGTGCCAGACACGTCCACACGCGACCAGAATGCCAAGCCTCAGCGCCGTATCTTTCTTCTACGCAAGAATAATCCACCCCAGCTACCCGCGGGTGACGGCCCGGCCTTTGGTTCTTGCTAATCAGAGGCTCCCAAGACCCTCAGACAACAAGAGTCCTCTCCCCCCACCCGTCAATCCAAACCCAGCTTTGGGAGTCAACAAATCAATTGTCCCCAGAGCCCTTGTGCTCTGCCTGTGAGCTGGAGAAACGAAGACAGAGGAAGTCTCCTTGTGAGACACAGCCACACGTCAGACACTGGCCTTCTGGCTGCCCTGCCCTAGCAGAGGACAGGCCGAGCAGATTCTGCACCCAAAGCTTCTCGCTTATACTCCTTCTGGGTGGGAAGGGCCAGAGCCAGGCCTGGACCTCAGAGGGAGCCCTCCAGCTCCCCTTTCCGTCTTCCAAAGTCCTCCCCACCTTTCAGGAGACATGGAAGCTGCTCCAGGGGCTACCTGAGGCCCTTGCCCTCGGGGGACCTGAGCTCCCACTCTCAGCCCCAGGGTCTGCATCCTAAAAGCCTGAGCTCAGACTGCGGCATGGGGTGTGAGATGGGGGCATTACTCCACCCACTCACCTTCCAACAGTCCTCCCTCCCTCCCCTGGACATTGGCTGGACTGTCTCAGCCCTCCCTCTCATCCACAGCTCATAGAAGCTGGGGCACCCAGGAAAGTAGCAGTGCCTCCATCACTTAACCCTAAAAGCTACATTCCTAGCCATTCTCTGTACATGCATCCACATGCATCCATGCATCTGTATGTCTCATGAGTGCGTATTGTGTTGTATTGTGCGTGTGCATGTATACACAGCACATTGTATATGTGCATGAGCGTATGTATATGTGTGTGTCTGCATTCACACATGCCTGGATGTGTGTCTGGATGGTGTCTGTACGTTGTATTATATGTCTGTGCACACAGGTGGGCGTATCTACGTCCCCTGCATGCCTGTTGTATTGTGTGTGCATGTATACACGGCACGTGGCATGTGTGCACACGTACACACGTGTGTATGTTTCCACCGTGCCCTGGAGGGGCCTGTTCTGCCTCCAGTCACATCTGTAGAGACCCTCTCAGGTTCCCGTTTTCTTTCATCCTCAGCCCAAACTCCCATCCTCGAATGACCAACATCTGCAGCTTCATCTCCCGCCATAACCTTGACCTTGCCGCCACAGCCGCCACCGCCTGGGCCTCATCTGTCTTCAGAACGCTGGAGTTCAAAGGGATGAACGTGCGTCCACACCGCCCTGGCCAAGGTCTTCCCCAGGGGAGGGAGGCTGGATTGTGCTCTCTGGCCACGGCCACCCAGCCCCCGGGGAGCGAGCCGGGTCCGACTTTACGGCCTTAATTTATAGGCTTCTGAAAGGCAGAGTCAGAGCTGGGAGATGATGAATGGTGCTGGGGCCTCTGAAAGGCAGAGAGTCAGAGCTGGGAGATGATGAACGGTGCTGGGGCCTCTGAAAGGCAGAGTCAGAGCTGGGAGATGATGAACGGTGCTGGGGCCTTTGCTCGGCGACACTCTCCTTCTTGCTGGGCCTCTGCTCTCCACGGCCTTCCTTTGTCAACAGTGTCCTTCTCCGCGTAGGCCTTGCAGGCCGTTCTCTGGAAAGGGTTCCAGGGCAGGGGACAGAGAGGTCAAGTAGACCAGAGCCTGCTCGAGGCCGAGTTCTGAATAGATGTCCTTGGGCCCCAGGAGTCTAGCCGACGTGAAAATCCCAGCATCAGTCTGGGAAGCCAGGAATTCAGGGAACCCCACACCCAGGGGACACATGGACTGGTCAGCGGCTTCGGTGGGACCTCCTGGAGACTCAGGCAACAACCCCTCGTGGCTCCAGCCGGGCCTCGCCTCTCCCAGTCTAATTACACTGCTCCTCTCCAGAGCCCTAATGGAGATTCCAAAAGGCCCCCAGAATCCAAAGAGCTTTCTTCCCAATCAGTGCAGATGCTGGACTTTGGAGATGGGCTGGCAGGGCAAGGAAAGAAGTCTCCTGACCTCTGCTGACCTAAAAGAAAGGTCCTGGGGAAGATCTTTGCCTCGCCCTTCACCTTGATGGGTCGATTGACCGGCCTCGCTCCATCCACAAGGGCTCTTGAAAGAAATACCAAAATGGCGGGAGGTGGGGGTGTCTGGGCTGAGGGAGGCTTCATTTGGAGTGAGAAGACCCAGCAACGCTTGCTCGCCCGCCCCAGGCCCCTTCCTGCTCGCTGAAATGCGCTCAGTTGGACCAAGGAGTCCTGCTTGGGAGAGGGCGGGATGGACCGTGTGGTTTCTGCCTCTCCTTCCCCAGCTCAGGGCCCTTCCACTGCTAAAGTCTAGTCCTGCAGCTCTGATCTCAGGGGCATTTCCTCAGCCTCCCCAGAGTGGACGTGCTCCGGAGGAGCCTGGGGCAGGGGAGGCGTCCCCAGCCACCTCGGAGAGGATGCCTTGTGTGGGGGGCAGGGGCCACGGCCAGCCTTGGGCTGGCTGGACAACAGCAGCTGCCTCCAGAGCCATCCACGCCCCCAGGATGCAGAACCTCCTGACCCCTGGACCAGAAGAGGCCAAGGCGCTTTACCTGAATGAGGGAGGCCGCAGCTGGGATCTGGCGGTTGAAATGCTTCTGTCTCTGTTTCTGCTGGACCTTCAGGGCAAAGCCAGAACCAAGAATGCCCTGAGGAGAGAAGGAAGGAAGCCTTGGCTGCCCGGGGTCTCCCCTGCAAAGAGCCAGACGCATTTGTGCTGGGATCTCCACAGTCACCCAGAAAGGGGGCAGCGACCCTGAGGCCAGCCGGCACCTACCGCAGGGAGGGCGAAGAACGAGATGGCAAAGACCGAGAAACAGGAGGCGATGGTCTTCCCGATCCAAGTCTGCGGCACCTTGTCTCCATAGCCAATGGTAGTGACGGTCACCTGTGGTGAGGAAGAGGAGGAGGCGTCAGGCAGCGGCCCCAGAGGGGCCCAGAGAGCTCTTTGTCCAGGGAGGAGAGGAGGTGGGGAGGGCACCCTCCTTCTGGAGTCCTGGAGGGACCTGGGGGCCTGGCACCTCAACTGTGTGATCTGTAAGCCCTTCATGTCTCCAAGGCCAGATAAGAGGCCCATGGAAAATTCCGGGAGAACATGGAGGTTCAGCCGCTCCCTGCACAGAGCTGGAAGGCCAGGGGTCCCCACCCCTCAGAGACTTCACTCCATCCTCTTTTCCAGGAGGAGGTCAGAGGCCCCTCTCCTCCGTGGGGAAGGCTTTTTGGCCTGAGCACTCACTGGGCTATTCAGGTCTGAGGTTTACAGAGGGAGTTGGGAGGTCAGGAGGTTAAGATAAGTGTGGGGGCTGCCCCTGAGGCCCAGGGGTGAGGGCAGCTGCTTTTCTCCCACACAGCCTGCTTAGCATCACCCAGGACCAGCGCCTCAGGACAGCCGAGGCAACCCTCGGGGTCCTTGGGCCCACCCTGCATCCTCGGGGGTGGCTCCCCTGGTCCAACCCTGGGGCTCCTGCCTTTGCCAGCGCAGTAACACAGTTTGAAAGGTGCCCTGTTCCCCAGGGGCTCTCCTCAGTGGGGGACACACAGACACAAGCCCAGCCCCTGTCATCATCCAGGGACTTACATCTCCTATCCAATCACAGACTGCCCGGTGGCCCTCGGGTCTAACACCACTGGCCGCAATGCACAAGCCAATGCTCGGCCTCCAACCCAGCTCTGGTGCGTCTGCTCACCACTACCGCGAGGTAGTCCCAACCTCACCCACAATGCCCAAGGTGAGACCGGGGACCAGCTCATAGAATGACGTCCTTCTACTTGGGACATTGGGGGATTCTCCTCGGTTAGGACCAGAGGCCTTCCTCTGGCCTCCCAACCTAGCTGACCCAGACCCCAAGGCTACCTTGCCTCCACCTCCACACACCATTCACTTTGGAAGGCAGACGGGTCCACGTGGGGCTCTGCTGATGCCATGTGGTACAAAGGTCCCCCTTGCTCCCCAAGGCCCCAGAGATGTGTGGGCATGCCTGGGCTCACAGACCTCTGATGGATCCCCATATCACAGCCTCCCCATAAAACTGCCGTTTCTCCTGTGCAGTGGGTATGGGTGGGCATGAAACCAAGCTCAGGGTCTGGCTAAGGCCTAGGACACATGCCTCTGCAAAGGCCAGAAGCCCCAGCTGGATGTTTCGTCTAAAGCCCTCTACGGACACTAAATGCAGAGTCTTTGAAGGGATTCTAGTAAATGCCGGCTCCCCTAAGAAGTGCCTGCTTTTGTCCCTTCTAGACCCAAAGGAAAGGGTACCCCCGCCTGCCTCTCGTCCTCGCCCAGATGGCCGTGTCCAGAGCGGGCCAGCACGTCCACCCTGCAGGGAAGGAGAGCCAGGGCACACACAGGCAGCTCAAACAAAGCTGGAACATTGAATCCATCCCTCGCAAGGCCCCTCCACAGACATCATGCAGGGACAGAGAAAGAAGGGGGCCGGGGGCCTGGGAGCAGAAGATCAAAGCCTGCTGGTGGGAGGTTTGGGGGACAGGGACCGCAGCAGCCGACCCCGAGGAGAGCAGAGCCCTTGGGTCCCCTTCTTCAGCTCCCTACTCCGGCCGCCCCATCAGGAAGGGGGGGCCAGGAGCCACCTCCCTTTCCCTGAGAAAATGCTTTGCTTTTGAACTTTTTCTCCTTCTTTTGGGAAGTCGGACCCTCTGGGATGCGCCAGATCATACTGCTCTCTGTGCAGCTGCAGGCAAGGGGAGGGGGGTCGCCAGGAGGCCGCCCAGCCCCGGGTCAGGCTGAGACTCCAGGACTGCGCAGGCCACGGGGGAAGGGTCCTGAGCCCTCAGCTGCTGAATGTGGAGCCACCTCAGTGTGAGGTGGGGTGGGGGAGGCAGGAGGGGGCCCCAGGGAGGCTCCGATGTGTGCTGAGGAAGGTACCAGCCTCTTCCTCCTCCTCCTCCTCACAGCCACAAAACACCTTCCGTCCCTTGTCTCAAGGCACCCTCTCAGCAGCCCTCAGAGGGAGGCAGGCAAGGGTTATGCTCCTTTCCCATTCTGCAGATGAGTAAACTGAGGCCCAGAAAGAGTCTAGAGCTACAAGGTGTCCTAGTAATCACCTAGTTTAACTTCTTCACTTTATATTTGGGGAAACCAAGGCCCAGAAAGGGGATTACCTAAAGTCACACAGCCCTGGACTATGGGCTGCAGAAATGGGCAGCTCCTGAAGGCTGGGGAGTCAGTCACCCTTCCTGAACAGTACTTCCATGCCAGTCACTGACTTGTCTGGGAATGTGTTTCATCCTCAAGTAGACTGTAGGCTGCCTGAGGGCAGGGACTGCTTTACTTGCATATCCCCAATACCTGGCATACATTCGGTGCTTAATAAATGTTTACTGCTTGGTTCATTGTACGTGTATAAACCATTTCTTCAAAGAAAGTAGATGTAGCTTGTCTGCCATCCCGAAGGAAGGAAGGAAGCTAGACCAGATTGGATTCAGTTCAATTAAATCAGTATTCATTGAGCACCTACTATGTGCCAGGTGTGTACAGATAGGGGGGGCATAAATACACAAGTGAGGGAGCCCCTCCCCTCTGAAGGAATATCGACGCAGAAAAGGAAGTCAAAACCGGAAATTCCTAGGACACCATTTGAATGGACGCAGATAGAGCTGACACCTGGGGGAAGGTGGCAACCCAGCGATGTTTTGGAGGAGTTAGGGAGCCCTGAAGGTCAGTCCAAGCTGTTTTCCACTACAGTTGTTTGGGAGTGACCCGAAGGGGATGAAAAGATGCCCAGAGGGCCCAGGTGCCAGGACCAAGGACTCCCCCTTGAGAAGGATGCAAGCATGCGCCCAGGGTGCGAGGTGTTCACTCCCACTGAAAAGGGACGGGGTCTGTGGCCGCAAAGATGAGGGGGTGGCTGGTGACTCTGCTCTCAGGGAAGTCACAGCCTAGCGGAGGTGAGAACGCCCCCCCAGACCCCTCTTGTGTCCACTGGATGGCTCCCCACACGCACCACAGAGAGGCTCTCTAAGGCTGATCCTACAACCAGGGGCTTTGGAAATCTTCAGGGAACAGGAGATGCAAGCAGCCCCTTCCCTTTCCGCAAAAAGAAGTCCCCCACTGCCACCAAGGCAAGTCCAGAGGTGAGCGGGGAACATTGTTTTGGACCAAGGAATCCTTCCAGTGTCCTCGGGCAGGAGCTGTCCCTGAGCAGGGGCCCCTCATCTCAGACATCCCTGACCAGGGCCTCTGGGGACAGCTAGAATTATGGAAGCAGCATGGCCTCCTAACCCTCCAAACCCCAGGGTCCCTGACAGCCAGGCAATGAAGTGCTTACTATGGGCCAGGCATTGTGCCAAGAGCCTGGGATACAACGAGGCAAAAGACTGTCCCTGCCCCGGAGAAGCTTCTGATCTAATGGTCGAGACCCGCCCCCCCCATTCCTCACAGCCAACCTTTGGAGGGGCCTAGTGAGGAACAGCCTGACGCGATGGAAAGGGAGGGGGGCTGTGGCAGGATCCCCTCTGCCCCGAGTCACCGAGCCTCGCCCTCCGAATCCTGCCAGCACACAGACTGTGTGGGCACAGCAAGCCATGCTTTCCACAAGGCTGGATCAGAGGTCCCTGGTTCAAATCCTGACTTTGCCCCTGACACTTCCTACTATCTCAGAATCATCATTTCCCTTGTCTGGGTTTCTTTACCATTTAGCATTAGGAGGCTGAACTCCCTGCCCTCAAAAGCCTCTCCCAGCTGCAATCCGAGATCCTGGATGATTGGGGGAAACGTTCCTTCACCCTCTCAGATGTGCCTTCCTGCTGAGATCCCCCAACTCCCAGAACGTAGCTCTAGAAAGAACAGAGGATCCCACTCCAGCATCCCCAGCAATGAGCCTCGGGCACCTCAGACCCCCAGGCAGGGGCCACAGCATTGCCTTGAGATGCCCTCTCACCACAGAAATGTCACAGACTCTGAGGCAGAAGGGGCCTCAGCAGTCACCTCGCCCTCACCTGACAGCATAGGAACCCCTCTGGACACCCCCAACAGAGGGTCTTCACATCAGATGAATCCAGCCGGCTCACTGCTTAGGAAGCCACCTCCCAAGGAGCTGGACACACTAATGGGGAAATTGTCTCATCATCCATAAGCTCCTGGGAGAGCCAAAGGGACAGGAGAGGACAGGACACTGTCCGTGGATGGGCGAGGGAAACGTTGGGCCTATGGGTCGGTGGGCCAGGGGCAGAGTTAAAGGTGGGGTGAACAGGGCTGGGGAACTGGGGTCCACATCAGCACACTAGGACTTGGCTAAGATTGGGTCAGCAAACAAAAACCCAACCAACTGCCACGTTATGGTCAGGGCTGGGCCCAAAGAGGAAAATTTCTGGGAACGAGTGAGGCGTTCCTTTAGCCCCCCAGGGAGCAGCCCTGCAGTCTTTGCAATGTGTGCTCCGGACAAGCCTTTGGGCCAAGGCAGGGCTGGAAAGTTCCCAGAGGCCGAGCCTGGCCAAGACTCAGAGACCCAAATCATGGGAAAGTGAATCGTCTCAATGGTCTGGTCGCCCGGGCCCTGCCCCGACCACTCCCTGTACCCACAGCCATCAGGGAGCCAGGGCCTTGGACTGGGGTGGGCCCAGGCCCACTGAGGGGCCCCATGTGCATAAGAAGAGGGGTGTCTGCAGCTGGAATTGGGGAGCCTCCCTCTGGGACCTTCCTCCCCTTTAAAAAGTGAATGTCTATTGTTCTCCAGATGAGGAGGGGGAGGCAGAGAACCAAGGACCCCCAGACCTCAGAGCTGGCAGGAGCCACCACCTGGTCCAACCAGCCTCTGACCAAGGATTCCCTCACAAAGTTCCCAACAAGAGGTCATCCAGCCTCAGCGGGAAGGGGAACTAGCTACCTCTGGAGTAGCCAGTGCCAACCCCGGTGTGCAGTGTGGCTCATTA